GACCCAGTGGCGGGTGCCAGGTTAAAGTTGTTTAGACCCAGGCCAGCACCCACCTTATCGATGGCGAGCCCGAAAGGAAAACGGAAGGCCAAAATGGAGGAAGGAGCCCCCTCGAGACGATTCAAGGCAGGGGAGAGTTCCAAGAAGAGGAAAAGAATGAAGGAAAGAAAGGTCAAAGGGTTGGCATTAGGAAAAGTGAAGAAATGGTTATTCGTGCTCAAGAGGGCCAGACAGAGAGTCCACATTAGACAAACTGGCGGGTCGGCACCTTTCTTGGGCCAACGTCAGAAGAAAAAGAGGATCCTACCAAGTCCAAGAACCCGAAGGAAAAGGAAAGTCAAGAAACATCTTCTTAGCCCCAGAACTCATAACAAACTGCGACAGGAGACAACTAAACGTCGGCGTGAGGGTCCTATACGGGCAGTCACCCTGAAGCTCGTCCGCTTCGTTTTATGAAAGTGGATAGGGTTCGACGGGGGCGTCTAGAAGTGGTCCGGGCTAACTGTCAGGCGGCCACAAGCAGTGCGCCACCTGAAATCTGTGGCTTTGGGACTTAGGTTCAAAGACAAGTCTTTGTTTTGACGGTACACTTGTTTGACCAGGCAGCAAAAATTAGGGGAACTTTGTGCACCCCTGATTTTGGGCGCACTGAACCTTACGAGTAACCCTCAAAGATGGAGAAATGTGTGGCCACACTCGCCACATCTAGGGACCGTCATATCCGGCCGTTCAGAGCGTTGGACCCGGATTGGCCTGCCGCGGAGAGGTGTCGAGGGAACTGACATCGCCGCAACGTTTTTGCAGCATACGACCGGGGCCGAAATGAGGCCTCAAATTTTTGTCTATTTTAGTACCATAATTAAAGATGAGGAAAAGAGATAAAGACCAGTAGGGGAGAACAGAAAAATATAATATCCCTCAATTTCTTTATTTTTCACGACATTTAATTCTAGGGGGAATAACCTTGTTATTTTATGTTCCCGGCAATGAGATTAAAAACATAGAAAAAGATTAAAAAAAATGTTAAGAGAGAAAATAAACAAAAGGAATTCGGCCATTTATTTAAACTTTCTCGGAATTTAATTTTGGGGAGTTTACGGTTAACTTACTATTTCCGACAATAGAATTAAGAAAAATGAAGAATGATTAAAAAGGATGAAAGGGACGGGAATCCATGACTATTTGGAGATTGGCCAAATTTCGCCTCGATTACCCGCCATCAGCTCTGACCCCGGATTGATCATTTTCCCTGGAATCTAACAGTTTTCACTGTTGCCGATGGTCGAGGTTCCCTGCGTCGCTTTCCCTGGTTTGCTTGATTACTAACATTACCGCAATTTGGATGTTCTGAGAGCGGGAGTCGCATGGACAACATGGGGTGGTGCTACCTTGGGTCGACAGTATGGTATTTGGCTCGGTACGGATACATGGTTCGGAGAGGTTCGGTATTGTTATGAAGTGGCTCCGTCCTACGGTATCCGACGTGCACGTGGTTCGGTATGGAGTCGGCGTCAGTTTGTCTCAGGGCTGAGGCCATTACGGTGACTTATACTGTAGTGATTTATTTCCAGGTCTGGGACCACTACGACAGTTGTTTCGGGTTCGACATCAGTCTATTTCGGGTTCGGTGCTACCGTGATGTCTTGTTTCAACTTCGGCGCCATTACCGTGACTTGTTTTCAGGTTTGGGACACAGCGGCGATTTATTACCTGGTCCGCGGCCACTACAGCAGTTTATGTCTGGCTCGGAACTGTCACGCCGATTTATTTTCAGAGACGACACCCTCACGGTGGTATGTGTCAGGTCCGGCGCCAGCATGGTTCGGAATTGGCACGGCGGCATATTTTCAGGGTCGGAACTACCGCTGCACTACGGCATTTTACGATATTCGACGGGATACAGGTTCAGTATTGGCGCAGAATTTACGTGGTATGATAGACTAAGGTTCGGATTTGGTTCGGCATTAGCACGGTGCAGAAGGTTTCGGTGTTGGAACTTTCTAGAGCGGTATCCCAGTCCGGTTTCAGGCTGCCGCAATTCAGACTGGTAATTTTCAGGCTCGGTATTGGAAGGGAACAAGTACTCTACTTGCTTCATCGTACGGTGTCCTTCATTGGGCTAGTATGGCTACAGGTTCTGGAACAGTCCGAAATGTTGAGTTGGGACAAGCACAGTGCAGAGGGATGGGCATGTCACGGTACACTGCAAATCTGATAACTGGCGCGACCAGTTTTGACACGAGTACTCTGCTGCCTGGTTTGGGGCTACTGGACTAGTTAGGGACTGCTGGAGGCTACCACACTTATGTACTGGGACTGCAGTCGGTCCTAGTTCCTTGCGCCTTGGATTTGGGTCGACTCCGAAAAACAGGCCCTGAGGCGATTGTGTACCGCTGGCAAGGACAAGGTTAGTCTTCAGCGGGAAACGGGGTTGGCTGGACTTTTTTTTTTGCTGGCCGGGGTTCTCTGTTCCGAGGCCATATAGGACCACTCTGAGACCGTGGAGGGGGAGTGGAGAAGAGCGCTGGAGGAGGCGTGTCAGGCGTTCGTCATCCTCGGATGCAGTTGACGTTCAGTGTAAGTACGGGAAGTCCGGTGGGGACATAGACAGTTGGTCTGCATCGGAGTGTGTGCAAGGTGTACCCGCGAGCGAGGGATATTTTTTTTCGGAGAACTCGGGGACATGCAAGGTGTACTCAATCCACTGCTGTAACGGAATGCAGCGGCGAGCTGGGAGTGTGACTACGCGGGGTAGTTACGAGCTGAGGGAGGCGGGCAAGGTGTACCCGACCTCTTCCGTGCATCGAGACAGGAAAGGGAAAAGGCCGTGCCTGGCGTGCTCAACAGGGGGGCTAGCACGTTTCATCCAACGTGAACAGCGCGCCAGGCGTGCCTTGCAGCAGCTCTATTCGGGAGCGGAGATGGGTCGACGCGCGTGCTGTTGGGAGGTTGACCGAGGGTGGAGAGACGGATGCGCGGTGAGGTTCGAGGGGCACTCTGAGGGAGTGAGAGAGACGGCCACCTGCATCGCGTGTTGGGCGCGCACCGCGCGCAGCAACGCGGGTTGGAACGGGGAGAAGCGAGCACAACGTTGGGGCGAAAGGAGAAAAAACGAAAGGGACAGAGGACGAGAAGAGAGAAAAGAGTGAAGGGGACGCGTCAACGAGCATGGTGTGGGCCGCTCGTCAGGGGGCTGACGAGTGCGATCATCCCTCCCGGTGAGAGTATGGTGGATGGGCGGGAAGGAAGGCTACAACCGCATCACCTGTCGAAGCCGCCGTCGAGTCTCGGGTGAGTTCAAACCGTAACAGCCAACTTCAACTCAGGGCGTGATCATTGAATCCACCTCGAAACACTGAGGAGATACAATCTGATATTAGGCTTGACTCGCTGTTGCGTCGCTCCTCTAATCATGAGCGTTGAAAACTGCCCGCTGAGGCAGGTCGAACACATCTTGATTCTAAGCATGACCAGTCTTCGCATTTTTGTTAAAGCATGATCTTGAACCTGCCCCGAAAGTGGGGGGGGGGAAATACTCGCAGACCTTTGAGCTGGGCGCGGCCGTTTCACATCTCACACTAATACAGTCATTGCTCTTCGGATCATGATCATTGAATCTGCCCCGAAAGCAGGGCAGATACATGGAGATTTTTGGCTTGTCTAGCAGCTCCATCGCTCCTCATAACTCATAACATGAGCCTTGAAACTGCACATGAGAGCGAGACAGATACATGCAGATTTCAGGCTGGGCTTCCCGCTGCATTCTTCCCAGAACTTCATCGCTGAGTCTGACTCCGAAAACGAGGCTGTTACTTACAGATATTCGGGATGGACGCACCGTTCTGTAAGCCCGGAACTGAGAATATTGAGTTCGCTCTCGAAGACAGACTATTGCATCGTATCTGAGTGCTGTTCAGTACACTGAAGCGGTGCCGGCGGGGGTGGAACTGTGAAGGAGTCGAACAGTTCCACCCTGCGCGACCCCCGGGTCCCCGCTTCCGCCCCCCCACCCGCAATTCGTGTAGACCCCCGGGTCCCCTCTTCCACCCCGCGTGACTGTTACCCCCCCCACGTCCGCGCCCCATCATCATCATCATCACCAATCTACCCGTGCCCTACCTACCACGCTAACACCCAATCAATAGTAGATAGGATCGCCCCGCCCTCGATTTACATCAAAATTCTTTTCTAGAATCCATTTTATATTCTTTTTTTTGTACATTCGAAAATACTGAAACGCATATTCTTTCTCAAACGTATTTTCTTCTTTCGAAATTTTCGAAATACATAGGATTAAGCATTCTCTCTCGACATTTCATCTTCGAAATTCGAAAATCAGTTTAATCAATTCTTTTTTCGATTTTTTTTTTTCGAAAATTTCAAGAATTAATTAAATTCTTTTTCAACATTTCTTTTTCATAATTCGAAAACATTCCTTATTCTTTCCGGAATTTTTGTAATTTGGAAAACATTTTAGAATTAATCAAACTCTTCCTTTTCGTAACTCGAAATACGTTAGAATTTTTTTTTTTCTTTCGACATTTCTTTGAAATTCGAAACTACTTTCAATTCATTCGTTTTTCTTTTCGAAAACTTTGAAAATATTTTAGACCTAATTTAATTCTTTTTCAACATTTCTTTTTCAAAATATTTCTACTTAATTTTTATTTTATTTTTTTTCCAAAAATTTTAAAAATACGTTAGAATTAATTAAATTCTTTTTTTCAAATATAATTCTAATTAATTTTTTTTCCCAATATTTTAATTCACAATTTTTTTTCGCAATTTTTTTTTCTTTTGAAATTCAAAACTCTTTTTACAATTCGGAACTTCCTTTCTTTTAAAAATATTATTCTGAACTCCTCAATTAATTTCGACTAAATTCAATTAATTCACGACTGAATTAATCTCTTTATTCGAAATTAATTATCCTTTTTCTGAAATGTCGCCATTTTCCTTTGAAAATTTCTTGCCAAATATTTTAAAATTTTCCTCTTCCTAATTCTTTTCAGAATTTATTCATTTTTCCCCCGTAATTCGAAAATATTTTCTTTTGTAATTTCACGTTTTCTTGTAAATAAATTTAAATCTACATCAGAATTTATTTTCTCGAAATTAATTAACTCTTTCTGTTCAGCGTTTATTTTTGGAAAAAAAATAAAAAAAAATTGGGGATTATCTTTATCTTTGATTTTATTAATAACTAAATAAGGGATTCCCCCCCCCCCTCCACATGCCACCACGCCAAACCAAGAACTCCCATCGCGCCGCCTTCGCCGATGCTGCTGCATCCTCCACACCCGCTCAGGCTACGTCCTCCACCCCCTCTTCCCCCGACATGGCCGCATCCTCCATCAACATGTCTGACATCCGCATCGACTCAGTCGATAGCATCGCCCGCAACCTCGCAGGCGAACAACCACCAGCAAACACCGCCACCTCCGACCTTTCTGCCGTCCTCCACGCACTCAACACCTTCCAAACCTTCGTCACCGCCTCTCTCAACGACATAAAGGCCAGCGTGTCGTCCTTATGCGACCGTGTCACCACGCTCGAAGGGACCACCCCCTCCATCACGGTCGTCACCACCGCGCAAACCACTCCAACCCCCACAGTGCAAACCGCTCCAACCTCCACAGTGCAAACCACTCCAACCTCCACAACGCAAAACACTCCCTCCTCCACGGCCGCCTCTAGCAACACCCCCCCGCCGACCTTCTCCACTCCTACCACCTCTACCGCCATATCCACCAACCCTTCAATCCCCACCATCGTTCCGTTCCCTCCACCTCCGCCCTCATCCGGCGCATCCAGCACACCGCCTCATTCCTCGCCCATCAAAGTCACCCCTCTTCCCCCCCCGCACTCCCAAACCCTCTCCCAACCCATCATGACCACCTCCACCATCCCCACCATCCGTCCCACCTATTCCCAAGTCACCTCTGGGGCCTTCCTCGCAATGCCACAACTTCCCCCCAACTACCTCCTTGAGGACAACAACCAAATCGACCACACCTGCTTTGACACCACCCCCGATAACCTCTGCTTCAACACCCTTGTGCAGATCGTTCACCGCGACGGGGAAATCCCCCGTTCCTTCCGATCTGGAGAAATCATGTCCTTCTCCGGCCTCCCCCACGAGGACGTTTTCCTCTTCCTAACCCAGCTTCAGAACTCATTTCAGCTCCACCACATGCCCCTTGCCCACTGGCTCCCCATTGCCACCTCCCGCCTCCTCGGCAATGCAGCCAAATGGTGGATGGCTGAAGCTAGCAACCGCCGAGCCTCCGGAGGACCACGCCACACCTTCCTCCAATGGGCCACCCTCCTCACTGCCACCTTCCGCCCCCAGAAAACCAACTGCCTTCCTCCAATGGGCCACCCTCCTCACTGCCACCTTCCACCCCCAGAAAACCATTGACGACTACCTTGAACAATTCTGCCATCTCCACCAGACCGGTCCCACGGACCGCTTTGTCCAATACGTCCGCTCCCTCCGACACCAACTCCCCCACACCATCATCCCCGACTGTGCATTCATTTCCCGCATTAAACGAGTATGCCACAAAGACCTTGCAACCGCCCTCGCCCACGAACCCGACATGCCCCTTGCTGACCTCCTCTCTCGCATGCTCCACCACGATCGACTCCTCCACCCCCACCACCAGGCCCCCCCTGGCACCTCCCGCACCCGCTTTTTCCACCACATCACCCCCGAAGACACCACCTCCATCACTTCCTCAGACGAATTCACCACATCTGACCCGGACGCATCTTTGGATTCACTCGACTCTTCATCCCTCACTTCCGAGGAACTCGATGTCGTCCAGTTCATGAGAATGGAGCGCAGAGATCGCAGCTCCCGACCAACTTCATCTAACTCACCCCCGAGGAGCGCACCTACCTCCAAGTAAAAGGGGGTTGCTTCCGTTGTCGCCAATTGGGGCACCAACAAACCAACTGCCCCAACGCCGCACAATTCACCCGCCAATTGCTTCCTCCAAATGCATCCACTATCACCTTCTCCRATGTTGTTGAGGAACAAGCCCGACACGATCAGCTTGTCCGCTTAGGCAACGAACAACGCCGCCTCAACACCATCATCTCCACCGCCAACTCATCTCGTTTCCACCTTAAATTCATCGCTGCCACCCTTGGTGCGTCTACAACTAAGTTCGGGGCCCTCCTCGACATTGGAGTCACCGATAACTTCATCACCGACGCGTGTGTCCGCAAAGCCGGTCTTACCTCTACCGGCTATGACTCCCCGATCACGATTCGCCTAGGGGACAAAGACACCGCCATCGTAGTAGACCGCACGGTTCCCGAGACCATCATGACCGTTGGAACCCTCCGCAGTCAGGTCTCGTTTGATGTCATGCACTTGATGTGCGACATCGTCTTAGGAACCCCGTGGCTGGACCGCTACATGCCATACGCATTCCACCCCAACTTCCTTCGCCTCACCAACCCCCCCGACACAACCATTGACATCCCCTATCTCCCATATCCGACCTCCCAAGGCTCYGTCACCCCGCACMAATTCCTCCACATGGCTCGMCTAAACCCCRACTCCGCCTACTACTGTCTTGTCCTTGATCGCGAAAGTCCGAAGGACTTACTCCCGACGGACAAACCCGATCAAGCCCCGCCCTCCAACCCCGCCATCACTTCAATCCTCGACGAGTTCAGGGATGTTTTCCCGAGTCCTTACCCGCCGCCCTACCTCCGGATCGTGGCGTATCGCATACCATCGATTTGGAACCCGGACATTCTCCACCTTGCTGCCCTCTATACCAACTCTCTGTCCCCAAAGCCGAAGAAATGAAAGGGCAACTCGGTGAACTCCTTGAAAAAAGGTTCATTAAGCCAAGTTCATCCCCCTTCAGAACCAGCTGCCTTTTCATCAAGAAAGGTGGAACTTCGGAACTCCGCATGTGCACAGACTACCGCGCCTTGAATCGGATCACGATCAAGAACAAGTACCCCCTACCTCGGATTTCCGAGCTCCTTRATCGTCTCCGTGGAGCCAAGTACTTTACCAAGATCGACCTTCGTAGTGGCTTCCACCAGATCTGTATCCGCGAGGAGGACACCCACAAGACCGCCTTCCGCTCTCGGCTCGGGCACTACAAGTTCCTCGTGATGCCATTCGGACTCACCAATGCCCCCGCTACCTTCCAATCCACCATGAACCACATCTTCCGCAACCTCCTCGAAGTCTGTGTCATTGTCTACCTTGATGACATCCTTGTCTTCAGCCACACCTCACCTCCGCCAAGTCCTCGCGATCCTCCGAGAGCAAAAATTCTACGCCAAGCTCAGCAAATGTACGTTTGCTGCTTCGAGCGTCGAATACCTCGGCCACATTGTCTCCGCTGAAGGCATCCGTATGGACCCCTCAAAGGTCACCGCCCTCGTTGAGTACCCCCCACCCAAGACCCTCCTCCAACTCCGTTCCTTCCTTGGCCTTGCCAACTATTACAACCCATTTATTCGCAACTTCTCCGAGATCTCTTACCCTCTCCACGAACTCACCCGCAAGGACGAGCCTTTCCATTGGAACGATCGCCGCGAACAAGCTTTCGACTTACTCAAGCAAACCATCACCACGGTGTTGGGAGAGAACCCGGGGAGGGGCTACCTACCGTTCGCTGAAGCCAAGGGCTACGGCGCCTGTCACTTCGCCGCGCCCGCTCCGAGGTCCTCGGCGACCAGTAGGGTGAAAGGGGGCAATCGAGTTCAAGGTTTGTCTAGCCCCGTCGGCACGCAGCGCTCTTCAGCAATAGGAGAGAGTAAATAAGATTAAAGGAATAAGTAAAAAAATAAATAAATAAATAAAAGAGTGGCAAAATTAAAACTGGAACTCTCTCTCCCCCTTTGTCTGTCTGTCTCAGCCCCTGTTCTTCTCTCTCAGCGTCTGCCTGCTCTCCCTCTCTCTCTCCCTGCGTGAGCCTGCTCTTTCTCTCTCTCTCTCTCTCTCTCTCTTCCTGAGTGAGCCTGCTCTTTCTCTTTCTCTCTCTTTCTCTCTCCCTTTCTCTCGTCTGTGTGTGTGTGTGTGTGTGTGTGTGTAAGTATGTCTATGTGTGTGAGTGTGAGCGTGAGTGTGTGTGCGTGTCTTGCTCTCTGATGAACACTTACCTGAGTTGGTTGTGACCTGCAGAGGTGGCGCTGATGAGTAATGACCACATTAATTATCTGCAGGGGTAGCGCCGATTCACTGCTGACGAGCGCTGGACTCAAGGGTACTTTGAAACACTTTGTATTCGTATCTCTGATGTTGCGCTGACGAGCGCTGGACTTAAGGGAACTTTGGAACACTTAGTATTCATATCTTTGATGATGCGCTGTCGAGCGCTGGACTCAAGGGAACTTGAAAACGCTTTGTATTCATATCTCTGATGTTGCGCT